GKWWTTTTTTTCATGTTTTKGGAGCGCTCTCYGTGGCATTCATATCGTAAACTTTCGTGACTACTTCTGGTTTAGTATAAATTGCCCAATTCTTAACGTTATCTCTATTTTATCGTAGAGTAATAGTTCAGGGACCTTACCTTTAGCAAAAAATACTTTCTCMCCTTTTTATCTCAAATCAAATCTTTTTTGGTCGTTTTTTGCTAATTCAAGCACACCATAGCAGTGACAAGTTTGATTCCAGACGTTTAAAAGTAATACTTAATTGTAAGCGTAAAACGTACTTTTTTAAGATAACAATCTAAAGGCGTAGATCTTTTGCAAAAGAGAAACCATCAAATCTCATGTGTTTTTACATCTTAGAAATTACCCTCACTGACTAAAAATCATGTAAGCTTTTATAAAAGTATTTTATTTACATTTTAGGCTAACAAATGGAAAGACACTCGCTAAAACACTCTCCGTAAAACTAGCCAGTTTTTCCGCACATTCGCTCGACCAGCTGCATCGTTCTTAACATATGAATTTTGATTGTCTTGAACTTATTGGGCTTAGTTAAAGCCCATAGCGCTGATCAACTCGCTTCTTTTAGCGATAAAAGAGCAAATTAACTTTCAGTTACATATCAATGATAGCGAAATTCTAATGAGACAGAACAAAGACACGGATTAGCAAGATTGGAAAAGTACGAACGGTGAAGCTGGTAGTTCGAACAGCTAAGTTTGTAACCTGCATTTGAGATGAAGCCATAGATTGTGCAGCATTAAGTGACTGCGAAACACTCTAGGGGCAAGATAAGATTTGACCGTGATAGTCACTTAAACATGAGAATTTTAAAGCATTTTAACATATGGACACGACCGATGATAGTACATTCACATATGCTAGGACTACTTCCAAAGAAAATCGCTTTCCGGCGCGCGCCGTTTACCACTTTATTGAATTCTCGTCGTGAACCCGTAAGAATTATCTAAAGAATCTCTGTGCCAAACTTCGCTAAATATTTGATAAGCGGATAATGTAGGTAATTAGCGTCCAAAATGCTCTGCAAAAAGGTGTTCAATGAGAATCATCAAAGAATTTGTCATTACTGATTCGGAATCACAAAGGCAGTGACGAGCAAAGCCTGATGGATTTGAATGGAAAATGTCGAAAAATCAAATACTACTTTAAGTTGGCGATGAGAGCCTGAATGATTGGTCTAAACAAAACCTAAATACTATGTAATACACGCTAAAGTAGTATCAAATACCGTCTAGGTTTTTATTAGTATAGTAAACACATTGATAGTTTACGGGAAAATGGCAAATAGAGCTTAAAAAAATGAAAAAACATACTCGAGACAAATACAGGCACGAGACACGATATACGAATAGTATGAAAAATTCTTCCATTCAAGAGTATAATTAT